ATTTTTTATTTGGTTGCACTTTGATTATTACTGGCAAAAACAAAAGGCATCAAAGTAAGACATGTTCTCAATATTTGTTAAATGAGAGTGATTAAACATCATTTGATATTCTAGACTGGTAATTTTTAAGTAACACTCAATAATTGATTAACCGAAATTCAGTTGCTTTATATGATAAATATTTACTCAATATTTAAAAGATTTTATTTATATTTATTAATCTTATAATATCTTTGAGAATTCTATAGACATAAATATTCCCTGCTAGGTATGAAAGATTAAAATGACTTTCTCAATGTCCCAACATTAAGAATGAAGTTAAAACTATTAAACTAGATTTTCTAATTTTCCAACAAATATCTGATTGAATCATCTATTTTTTAAAGTAATATTTCTAAAAGGCAATAACTTTCATGGTTAATGATAGTGCTTTTATTGATTGTTTTAAAGAAATGTATGTCTACTGCCTTCTATATTTTATTTGTGTTTAACCTTTGGAGATCTATTCACTTATTTTAAATTCAATTTTGAAGTTTTCCAAGAAGCTTTGCTTGTTTGATTTACTCTATCTTTTTTTCCAATAATCATAACTTATTAAAAGGCTGTTAGAATATTGGTATTAATGCTAATTGAGTATTAAACATAAATACTTATAAAATAATATTTGTATAGGACATTTATATCTCTTTTTAAAGAGAGGTTTAAGAGAAATTAAAAAAAATAACCAATAACTGTTTCAACTTCTAAACAGGTTATGATATAAGACAATGTCCAATATTTGAGATTTGAAAATACTTTTAAGTTTTTCCTTATTTCTAATCTAATACTTAGAAATAAAATGGTAATTCATTTGGGTCATCAGTGGGGTAAAAACAATCCACTCTTTCCTTTACTCCAAAGATGTTTACAATAGTATACTTGCTGCTGAAAAGCCTTTTCTGGTTGCTGCTAATTACATGTTGTCCATCTTAAAGTCTTTAAAAGGAATATGGGTATCTAATGACTTGTTAAATATTTTATTAGGTAAAGAACCCAAGAGGGTGTCTAGATTTGGAAAAATGCATATAAAAACACTGATTACGTTTGTAGACATTTTTCAATTTGAATCATCCTGTCTTCCAGTGTTAATAGATTTCATCTTCAGATTATATCAATCAAGTGATGCTATAGTGCCGCAGTCTGCTTGGCTCTCAGCACTATAGGGAATGTACAGCATTAATATTTTAATTGAAAACAAAATAATAATCTGTATGGGGGTGGGTCTAAGTATTTATCCAGCTCTAATTATATTAGAAGTAACATTTGTCATTTGATGACTAGACAACAGGTAATTAAAACATAAAATTAAAGCAAAGTCAAATCCTAACTTAAAAGGCAATGAAAATAAAGAGCATGGAATAACCCCATTAAAAAGTTACTAGAGCATTATAACAACATGCATTTCTAACAATATAATATGCTTACTTTTACTATGTTCTATATGACCAAGTGATAAAATCCTAAATCATAAACACATTTCAAAATGATTTTTCCTCATGAGCTTTTTCTTGACAGTCCAAAACTATTGTAAATGGGCATAGGCTAAAAGTCTATACTGGAAGATGATGAAGAAATACTATAACAGATTTTAAAGACTGAGGCCAGAATATCTTAGTAACTTGGGAACAATCAATTATAGAGAACAGGTCTACTCTATATTTTGTTACCTACACTGCCACCACATTTCTTACCAGATGAGTGTGGCCAGAATCTTTTAAAGGTAATATGAAGGGAGGTCTGGTTGAAATATCATAGTTCTTGAGAAAAAAAAAGGCGATAAAGTAAATTAATAATCATGAAGACAGCAACTGGTCCAAGCAGGAGCCTTTATCTAAGAGTTCAAAGGACAGATGAGAATTGTCTTGTTGACTTGATTGCAAGGTTCAAATAAGGTCACTCAGCTGAAAATACAGTATGTGGCTTATTATATTCACAATGTATTTTGGTGTTCATTCTAAAAATGAAATCTTCCTTGGATTTAATCAAACAATATGAATCTTATCTTTAATGCTTTTTCTTCTTGGTTGCTGATAAAAATTATTCCTGACGAGCACCAACAAGTCTTGAAATGTCACAACTCATTTTAGAGTGACACAGACCTCTTCCTCCTTCTAACAAAATCCTCTGTGTGAATTAAGTTGGAAAGAGCCTTAGTGAGGTGACTATCTGATGTCTCAGTACTGCTCCCAAAGTCATAGTTCTTCAGGCAAGGGCACAGGCAGCGAACAACAGCCCTGCGGATGTAGCTGTCAAACACGTAGTAAATGACAGGGTTGACACAACTGTTGGCAAACGCCAACGGCCCACTCACCTCCATGCCCCGCTGGAGAAGAGCTGAAGAAAAATGGAGTTTTGGCTGCAATCCAGAAATAATGGCCAGGAGCTTGAAAGTATTAAAGGGTAGCCAGGAGAAGACAAAGGCTGTCACCACAATAAAGATGATCTTTATGGATTTTCTCAGCTTTTTGTTATGCTTTCCTGATTGCTGGTAATGGACACACAGCTTTCTTGTGATGCAACAGTAGCAGCTCACAATGCTCAGCAAGGGGACAAAAAAAGTGAATATCAAGGCTACCAGGGCCCATGTCAATTTTGCTGAAGTAGCCCTCTTCTCAGCACAGTATGGCTTACCATCAATCAATGTGAGCTCCCTGGACAAAACAGTCGGTAACCCCAGAAGGCAGGAGACAAGCCAGACACAGGTACAGACTCCATATGCACAGTCTCTTCTTCTGAATTTCCTGGATATGGCTGGACACATGATGGCCAGGTACCGGTCAACACTCATACAAGTGAGCAAGAAGACACTGCAGTGCATGTTGACTGAGATCATGTAGGAGCTGCCTTTGCACAGGAAGGAGCCTGTCCTCCACAGTCCTAGAGATGCTTCCTTATCCACCCAGAGAGGCAATGTGACAAGGAAAATGAAGTCAGAGACACCCAGGTTGATGATAAAGATGTCAATTAATCGTCGGCTGCCACGTTTGAAATACAATGTACCAATCAGGATGAGGTTCCCCAACACTCCAGTCAGGAACACAGCTGTGTAAAAGATGGGAAGGAAGACAGATGTGTAAGGAATGTGGGAGTGGGTCTCCTTGCCATCAGAGTTTGGACTGGTAGCATAGTAATAATCCAAATAAACCGAGGTTGCTTCTGGGTCCATCACTGAAGATCAGATACCAAATCTGGTAAGTTCCCTTACCTAGAAGGTTTTGGTATGAATTTTAGAAATCTCAAAGGAGCTTCTTTTATATAGTGCTGTTTTTTTTTTTCTTCCCTTTAAAGATTTTGGACAAGCATGAAAACAGATTTAAAAAAAAGTGCAGTTTCTACCAATCTTCAGAAAGGGCCCACAAGGAACACCACTCTGATTGGTTTTGGTTGGTTGTGGTTGTGGTTTTCTTTATTTGCACTTGCCCATGAGACTGAGTTGCTTTTTAACTTCTTTATTCAACATATTTGTTTTTTTGTTTAAATTCAGAAATTAAGAATTGAACTTTTAAATTCTTACCTCTTTTAAAAATCTTTGCTTTTCTGACACTGAATTCTTTTGATCTAGCCTTCTGTTTCACCTTTAAGATACTCTTTTGCTTTTAGATCTGGAAGGTGTTCATAATAAAGATACACTTTTGTGTTTGCACTGTTGGTGATATATGAAGAATATTAGTCTTTTATTTCATAAAGAGTGCATTGCAAGCTTGCCAAGTCATACCAGTCTGCACCTGTGGCAAATATTATGATTGAAATTAGGGCATTAGAGCTTTCCTATTTTATTCGGCTTTCATTTCATACATAATCAACCAAGTCTGGTTCAATGATTAAAAAAAAAAAAAGAAATCTCCAAAAACCTGCAATCTTTTATTTTTACTATTATTTCAAATTTTTCATCATAGCTAGCATCGTAACTCCTGCACAGTTGGTGCCTTGGGAATGTTAATTTATTAGATTTGCTTCAGAAAATTCTCATTTTTGTGATCTAGTATAATTATAAATTAATTTGTTTGGCAGGCATTGTTATTTGTGAACCCCACATACACATTTAAAAATCAAAAACTGCTATTTTTACCCGCTTCTCTGATATTGTACCTCAACCAACGAAGTTCCCTTTTGTTAAGAGTTAATGTCCTTGAATTGATTTTTCTCCTACTAGCCTTCAATAATTACCCTTCATCAGATTCCAGATTGCCTCTGACCTTTCCTTCATTATATCACACTTTTGTAGTGATGAAATATTTTTTTGGCTGTTCCTTAAATACCTCCACACATCAGCAAACCTCAATTGTGGAACCACTGATCAGGCGGCAGACACAAGGTATCAAAAATGAGCTGCCAGCAGAGGCACTCTAAAAAGGGAAGATTTTTGGTATAATTAAAACATTTGAGAAACAGGATGAAACAGAAAGGACTCCATTCACAGAGTTTTCACATGTTTTCTTTTATATACGAAGGCCATAGTAACAAAATTTGAAATTGTCTCTATTAATTTCATTGCGGTGCTGGCCAAATGGCTCAAGGTTCTCTGGTACCCCCTTTTCCTTCTCTGCATTTCATTTAATGTCCAAAATTCCAGTTTCAGGTGGGTATAACCATTACATAGAAGAACGTATGCATGTAAATAAAAATATAATTGTTAAACACTTAAAGTCTTTTCTGTAAAATTTTGATTTTTTTCAGTAATTGGAATATTGAAAAGAATAATCCTGCCTTTTATACTCTTCTCTCCCTCCTGATGTGATACAATGTCATCTCAGTCACAAGCAAGAGAGGTAAGATTAGAAGAAGGATAAGGGCTCCCCTGACCTGGGACAGCCCCATGAAGTCACTCTGGAGTTGCTTTATGGACCTTGGCCTGTCTTCTTTGGGCTATTCACTAATTCCAGTGTTGTTGTGGAGAGCAGGAGGTGAGGAGGGGAAGCATATCCTTCGCTAAATATAGACTGCAGATTAGAGAAACTAATTAATAGCCTTGACATTTCTAGGACAGAAATCTTTTCCACTGGGTAAGCCTTAATTATTTAATAGAATAATTCATCTGTCAAATAGTTTGAAGTAGAACAATATTTACTTGAAAAACATTAATAAAGTAACAAAATATTTAAACACTGTACTTACATGTAAATGTGCGTGTGTTCAAGTGCCAATCATATACATTTTTTATTTGTAATTGTACTTTAATTGTAATATTAGAATTTTGCAATCAGAAGTTCTTTTGCTATTTGAAAAACATAAGCTTGATTTGGGTCTAAGATTTTTTTTAATCCTTATGTCTCAAAAATTCCACATAAAAGTATAAAATAGAGAAGAGTTTATACCCATACTCTGGAGGAAAACATTAGATTGTGCATTCATTCTGTAGGTCTTAAAATTTCTTTTGCATTTCTAAAGTTGGGTGGCTGGTGATGTAAACTATCTCAAATAAATCTGACTTACTCAGCAGTTTATTGAAGCAGTTGTAGATAAAGTGGTGTGCTTTATCACATGCAGTTACTTTGAAGTAAGATATTTGGTGGTAAAAGCTGCAATATGACTATATATATCATGAATAGTATAGACCAAAATTAAAAAACAAATTAACCATTTTTAGCCAAAAAAGGGACACAGAGCATGGTTCTGAGCTTTTCATAACTCTAAGTACAATATCAGTAAAAGAGAGAAGCCATAGTATATGGTGGCTATATAAAGAAGGGGAGGTCATAGTTCAAAGCCGATTGCAAAGGCCATTTTTAAGACTGTCTGCCTTTTGATTCACACACAGATATCCATAGCATTTGAAAAGGCAATATGAACAAGCTTTTAAAAAATAACAAATATTAGTTAACTGAATAACAGCCCATATGCCACTTCTTAAGAATTGTTTTCCCAAAAAAAATCCACTTAATTTTCCTCCCCAACCCCAGACAGAGATAATTGCATCTACCTTTGAACTTTTAAAATGCTGCTTATAAAGTACTTATTATCTCTATCAGGTGGTTTGTTGTCTTGGCACCTGACCCCCTGAGCAGATCATGAGTAACTTAAAAGCAGGGCACATCTATTCTCTCCCTGCTAAACTCTAGCAGAAGGCAACTAAAGTCTTTATGGACTCTCAGAGTCATTGTTTTGAACTGGTGGACGCCAGACCATATTACCCATTTTAAAAACCCTGGGACACCTACTAAAGTATACATTCACAAATCTTGTCCTTGATCTACAGAATCAGAATTACTGGGGACAGAGTCTAGGACTTTATATTTAACATGCATCCAAGGTGAATCTTATACACACTAAAGTTTAGAATCACTGTTCTTAATCACCTAAATTAACCAATATAATGTGTTACGCTTTGGTATTAGTCTATTTTAAAGAAGGTTTAAAAATTACTTCAAAATTTGAAACTCATGAAAGTTTTTTACCCTTTATCTCACAATAATTTAGGAATTAATCTGGATTTCTGCACCCTGCCTATTGTATTTCCAATTCTTGATATATGTTCACAACTGGATCAGATGTTGTAGAAGAAGAGAAGTTTTCTTCATTGAGACATATGCCCAAGTGAATCCATTATCATCTATTACATGGCTGTAGCCTGGCTTTACAGAGGACAAAATATTGTACGAATAGAGCTACCCTGGTAAGGCTGTGATACCTGGCATTGTGATTATATTACTTCAGTTTCTTCCTTATCAGACAACTCTGACCCCATAATAAGGTGGAGAGTATATCACTAGATTATATGCACACAGGAAAGCAGAAAGAAATCTCTGGATTTCTTTTTCATACACACCTTTTGTTCATATACATACTGTGATATGTCTCATAATAAGTGAAAAGAGTATGAAGCAAACTAATTATTTCTCATTAACCTTAGTAGGAAGACAGTGCAATTACACATGTATTTGTTAGAAAGAGAAACTCTTGTCCTATTGAGAATCATAATGTGTGAATCATTTAAGCAGTCAAGTTTGAGAAAATTATTTATACTGTAGGAGTTTAGTTGTTTTTTATTTTCACAGTTACTTGAACAATTTAGTACTATATAGTGTAATAACATATGCCAAATTAAATGGCATGTATTTGCTGTTATCAGTGCACCCTCTGTACTTAATTTATTGGATGATTTCCCATGTTAACTCATGTTTACATAGATAGCAATTATTTTTTCTAGTAACATATACTTAAGGATTCTTCATAAGAGTATATTCAATCTGGATTTATATTATGCATAATACAAATTTTTTATTTATGTTGGTATCCCTGGCAACACAGCACAGTGTCTGGCATGCAGACCTGGGCTGAATCATGCTTTAGTTCTGAGTCAAAAACCAATGAATAGGAGCTTTTGCAAACTTGTTGAGTAGCTTCTGTTTTCTGTTCAATCCTGGGGTCTTCATCACATCATAAACAAGTGTGGAGAGATGCTTCAAAGTTAGCACAGCATATTTTTGGTTATTTTATACCAATATTTCCACTTAGTGTATCTTGTTAGTATATCTACCATGGCCTCATAATAAATTTGATGGTGATGAGAAGATGAAGATCTTGTTTTAGTTTATAAATAAAGTAGTCAATCACATTAGTTCCTTATCTGCATTAAAGATTACCTTTTGCAAAAATTTTGTTTAGGGACTCAGCATTAATATTTATAAACTAATAAATGACAAAATAAATCAAGAAAATATTTCCTTTCATAATTTCGGCCATCCCCATGATTGCTGTTCATGTTTGAAGGAGCAAGGGCTGTGATGTTCTTTATAATTAGAATGCATATAGCCTTCCTCTTTTTCCTCTGTCCATCTGCATTTCTCACTGTCTGTGCTGCTTGTATATTGCCTGAGCTGGAAGTGTTGTATATACAAATTCCCTAATGAAACACTATGGCTATGACTCTATGACAACTATATTTCGTAGTCACATTCCTCTTCTTCCAGTGCAGTTAAAAATCATATGTGATTTTAGAGCTTCAAGTAATATTAGTGATCATCAGTATAACCTTTTTCCTAATGAGGTCACTGGAGCCCAGAGAGACATCATTAACCAAAGACCCACGGTGATGATTTAAAATAAAGGACAATTTGAATGTGAACTTCTCATGTACAAATGGTCATTCATTACTATTCAGAAGCAGGAACATCCAAACAACTATCGTTTGTTACACTTTGAGGCACCTAACAGGGTAGATTTTAGATAGATTTTTTGATGTGCCTTATCCTAGATTGATTTTTGCCA